GTGGATCATTTTATATAAAGTGACTTGTAAATGGATCTTCAATCTCCCTTTTTTTTTTAAAAAAAAAAAACCTTTTATATAAGGTTAGAGAGGAAGTAGTTTTATTATGAGTTTCGCATTTCACGTCAAGTACTTTCTAAGTGATACTATTCCTAAGTCATAAATAGTGCTATATTTTCATACAATGTAATTTTATTGAATTTGGTGCCTTTTTTGTAGGATATGATTATCAATATCGATTAATATAAATTATTAATGTAAATATAATACTCCTCCGGTCCTTATTATAAGACCCAATTTGACTTTTTATTTGGTCCTAATTATAAGATCCAATCCATTTTGTCTCTTATATTTATGCATTTTTTTCCAAGATAATCCTTCTAATAATGATAGTTTTAGCCAATATACTTAATTAGTAAGGATATTTTAGGAATGACAACACTTATTTATTATAAATAACCAACTTAACTTACTTCCTTAATCTCCTTAAATAAGTCAATTGGGTCTTATAATTAGAACCGGAGGAGTATTACCAAAAGGAGGAACTAGTACGGTCTTTAACTTCTTAAGTTATTTTACGTTTCTTATGTATTACAAAGAAGAAACATCTAGCTGTTTTTTATTTTATTTTCTACCATTTGAATTTTGAAATTTTCGCCAAAATTATGATCAAATCAATGCTTAGTAAAAAAATTTCTATCGAGCTATTCTTTCGGGTGCATTGCATGAGGAAAAAGAAATCTAATGAGAAATAACGAAATCCTTGTAAAAGTAATTAATAATATCATACTCCTCCAGTCCTTAATATAAGGTATAATTACTAAGTTAATTTTTATCCTAAATATAAGACTTATTTTTCATATTTATCAATTCTAAATTACTCTTATAAATACTCCCACAACCATAATCAAGTAAATGAGGGAGGAAGGATATTAAAAAAGATGATTATGGTGTTTTAGGAAAAACATATCATGTTTCTTGTAATTAATTAACTCACCTAACTTCTTTAATCTAATCAAATTATTTAAATAGATTCTATATTAAGAGTTAGAAGAGTACTCTATTTCAAACTAATAGAATCACCATGCCCGGGGAGATGTTCCAATTCCAATCTAATATTACTTCCTTCACTAAGTTGGCTTTAGGAGTTTAGGCTAATGGAAAGCCTAAAGAGGGGTTGAAGGTTGAGCCCTGGCCCGGCTACCACCGCATCATGAGGCCAAATAATATAATTAATTTTTTTTGATACTTCGCTTTAGAGCACGTATTTACTAATGAGAGTTAAGTCTAATAAAAGAGGTTAGCTTATTTTTCATAACGTGGTGAACTAAGATTTGAATTTTTATTGAAAAAGGTGTCCATGTTTAATGCACAACAATTTCTTGAATATGATTACTTCCAATGAGAGAGCACAGGGAAAAAAAAGCACACATTTAAAGGGATCTTAATTTTGATGGGGTTTGAAACTATATTATGATCCATCCTTACTCTACCGCTATGTTTGGCTCGACGGAGGGAAGGGGAGGGGAGGGATTTTAATCAAGGGAAGGGGAGGGGAGGAAAGGGGAGGGTAGCTACAAAGGGGAGGGGAGGGAGGGGAGGGGAGGGAGGGATTTTAATGATCTCCTGTTTGGATTGATTGGAGGGGAGGGGAGGGAGCAATTTTAATAATACCTTATTTTGTTCTAAAAAAAAATTGACTATTTTAGCCTCATAAAATTTAAATGAATTTTCTCATTTTTTATTTTGTTAAGATATAACTATATATATATATAATACAATTCACTAATTTTGATTTACAAGATACAGTCACACACTTATAGAATATCAAGACAAAAAGTCACAAGTGATAGATTTCAATCAGAGAAAAGACCTTGAAGGTGAAAGAAAATACCAACGGCCTCTTAGAATTAGAAGAAGAGAAAAAAAGTTTACAAATGCTCACTAATTTTGGAGATAATTATCTTAATAACCTCTTATTAGATGCTCAAAAGAACTCTATTATGTAGAAATGTTTATGATTGATTAGAGGTTAACAAATCGAAAGGGCATATAAGGAATTAAAATATCATCTCTCACCTCCCCTCCAAAAAACCCCACTTTTGGAGGGGAGGCTAGAAGGGAAGGGGAGGGGAGAAGAACCCCTCCCCTCTTTAAAAAACATCTTAACCAAACGAGGGGAGGGGAGCTCCTCCCCTCCCCTCCTAAAAAATTATACCAGCCAAACAAGGGGAGGGGAGCAACTTCCCTCCCCTCCCCTCCGAAAACCCCGTACCAAACATAGCGTACATAAATGTTTAATGCTTACCAAGAGAGAGAGGGAGAGAGCAAATGCATAACTCCAATATTTGAATTCAATTATGAGATTGAGGACTTGAATATATTGTTGATTATTATATTTGTCAACATCCCCAGGAAATGTTTGTGACTTATGTTGCGGTCAAGCGGTAACACAAAATAATGAGATATACACTTTCCGGTGAAAGAAGCCAAGCACTGACCAATAAAAGATTTACACCCAACGACAATGTCCAAATATTTCTTTTGCTTTCATTATATTCCCTTAATTTGTCCAAAACTGGGTAAAATTGATTTGTTTCTATTCCCACAAAATTTACCCCCGTAAATATTTGTCCCAATCTCCTTAGTTTTTTGAAAGAACCAAAACTTAGAATGGGTGAAGCTATTTCATAGTCCTAATCCGCTAATCAAGAAAGGAAAGAATTGGACTCAAAGTGGTCAAATGACATTAATGACCCTTATAAAGTAATTAAATTTTCAAATGATCTCATCGCCCTTCTTGAAACCCCTTTCATATGCCTAGCATGGCGTTAGCGTTTCGACGACAAATTGCTACTGTTTATGAGAAGATTGTCTTTCTTTCGGAAATTCCCTTGCTAGGTATTCAATGAGGAGACGTCTCTCATCTCACACATTGACAATTTGGTCATGTAATTTTAAAAATGAAAAAAATCTGCGGAACAGGCCCAAAATTAGGAAGTGAGTGGTCCATTTGGAAGCAAGTACTGCGGGCGATGGGGTTACATGGTTTTTGGTCCGTAGCTAAATTTCAACTAGCAACGCCAAAATCCCACATGCCTAAGAAGGTTCTATCCATTATAACTGTTACACCTACCCTTCCCCACCCAACTACCACTTCCCCCCATCCAAAAAAACAGAAGGGGTGCTAGGGATGCGTTAACATTATTAATTATCAACAAATCATTGTCAATAATATGTGTTCTGACAAAAAAAAATTTTCAATAATATGTGTATTTATAAATTAGAATTATAATAATGGAAAAACAATATTTATATATTATGAATAATGCGATTCATTTTTTAACCCTATAATATACGAACTCAACATCTAATCTAATTGCGTATCAAAATCTAAATCATGAAAGGCCAGTGCTCAATAATGGGGCTGCAGAAGATTGTCCCATATTTTGCGCCTCTTATTATTGCCTGATATTTTTTGTTGGTCCAAACAAACACTTCTGCGCACTCTCATTGACTGACCTATGATAGTTTGGGCCGGCCCATTACAAACATTTTGTAACTTCGACAAACGGCAATCTGTGTTCCCCCGAAGAAAAAAAAAACACCGTTTCCCGTCAAAATAAAAACAAATAGGCATACTAACCAGAGTTAAATTTAGCATAAGGGCGGTGGGTTAAAGTTTAAATATATTTTAAAAGAAGTATCTCTGTTTAGAATTGCTTTCAATTAAAAGAAATACTTATATAAACTTTGTACAGTATAAGTAATTGATCGGCGCAGTGTACCATTACAAAAATGGGATCATATATATGAAAAATATTTTAGTCTTTCAGCTTTACCTCAGATTTCAATAAGTAATTTAGATAATGAACTTCGTGTTTTAGATTTATCTTTAAAGTTTGCTTTTGTTCAAGTGCTTGCTTTCAAATTTATTTGGAGCTGCTTATGAATTAAGTATTTATAAGTTGAGGCACACCTTTTTTTTAAAATATATTTGTCTCATATTTTATAAATTATGATTAAAAAATTAGTTTTAAAGAATCTTATAAACAAGCACTAAGATGCTACTATGAGACATTGACCATGACTTGTAATTAGTAACTAGGCAGGGTTGGCCAAGTGGCGATGAGGTGGAAGGACAAGGAATGGTGCAACACATGACAAAAAAGTTGCATTAAGGGGGTGTTTGACATTTTTAAAACTACGGTTTTAGAAGTATTTTTTCGTAAAATGAGATAACTTCCTCAACATATTTACTTCGTAATCCGTAAAAGTACTTCTGAAACCATGATTTGGTTTATATCCAAACACCCCTTAAAATGCTTTAACATTAGACCACTTTTTATGCTCACGTCACTCTTGCCATTTGAGTTAGCCTAGATAACATGGGAATAAACACCTTTAAAAAAAAAAAAAAAGCTGAACCTTCACGAGGATGAATTTGAAAATAATTAAAGACTAATTACAAAGCTCATGGACCAAGTATTCAGTTTTTGGTCATACATATCACTTTTGTTTCATATAAATAGAAGGAATTATCTTTTCATGGCCACCTACCGGGCTCGCCTGAGAAGAAATCTCCACCTGTTGTTGAATGGTCTAGAATCTTCTCAGCTTTAGCTGATTCACGGCGAGTCGTATGGACAAGGACAGAAGCTACTCACCGTTTTGGTGAGATAATTTGCTGCCGGGAGATCATTCCCAACGACGGTCCGTTTATAGGTGATCTGGGGATGACGTCAATCGGGCGACGGACGGAAACTGGGTAAATTTCTTCAACTTTTAAATTTATTTAAGGAAAAAATGGAAAAAGGCTTGGCGGTAGATTTTTTTTTTTGACCAGCGGCTTGGCGGTAGATTGTAGAAGCGGTTTTCTTAATTTTTAATTTTAACAGACACCTGGCAGAGATAATATAAGCAGCGATCCATATTTACCATGTATCGCCGCCTTTCTTGTTGTAGCGGAGTTCCCTGCCAAGTCTTCAACGCGGAAAATCAAAATCCCTTCATCAGGATCTCAGGTTCACGAGTTTTCTTGAGAAAATTCACAATTTCAATAAAAAGATAATGGAGTCGACCCCTGTTAACTGGGAAACTCTCGACAATCTTGTCGTCGATTTCGCTAAATCGGAAAATTTGATTGAAGATTCCTCCTCCTTCTCCTCGTTTGCTTCTTCCTCATCTCCTTCCTCGTCTTCCTCTTATCATTCAAGGTTGGTTATACGCCAGATCAGGCGCTCACTAGAGTCTGGCGACATTGATGCTGCCATGGATCTCCTCCAGATACACGCTCCTTCTATTCTCCATGACCACAAGATTCTCTTCCGCTTGCAGAAGCAGGTCAGCCTCCCTGCTTTTTGCGCTTCCTCAGCAGATGCCCCGAAAAAAATCATTTTGCTTAATCCCGTATTGTGGAGAATAAATAGGTTCATGATAGGAGATACTATCCTCTGTGCTTCATTTTTCTCCCGCACTTTTTGCACCGGACAATTGTGCTTCTGCCTTTTGTCTACTTTATCCTGTACTTTGCTGACTTCCCGAGTGTACGTTTTATTTCTTTTACTTCGTGTAGAAATTTATTGAGCTTCTTAGGAAGGGGAAGACTGAAGATCGCGATTCTGCAATTGACTGTCTAAGGACGTCTCTTGCTCCCTGTGCACTTGATGCTTACCCGGTACCTGGGCAATCATCGAATACAGTCTTTCTTTTTATGGTTATTTTTGCTCAATGCGGATTCTAACGGTTGTCTGTATATTTAAGGAAGCATATGAGGAATTCAAGCATGTTCTACTCGCTTTTATATATGACAAAGATGATCAAAGTTCTCCCGTAGCAAATGAGGTGGGTGTGCATTCTTATTTTATTCAGGCAGAGAGGAACATGAGGAAGAAATAATTTCATAAAAACCCATGCTCTTGATTTCTGTTTCACTTTTGTGAAGAAATTGAATGACTTATACGCAATGCAATCATTGAACAAGCAGTCTTATCGAGGAAGGTAATCAGGCAAAATAGCGTCAAGGTTTCTGTGAGTAAAATCAGGATTCGAGTAGATATTCCCAGCAAAACAAAATTTTACCTTTGGCCGTAACCTTTTGTTGTAGGTGCCTAAAAATTTCAAATTTCTTAGTAATAGCACAGTAGTTGCGGAGCCTCCTAATATTTTTGTGGTAGTTCCTGGAAAGTTCTCTTTCCTGTTTGGCTTCGTATATTTGATGCCCAACATTATCCTACTGTGTACAGACACTTTGCAACTAATATCACTTGGCAAACCAGATTCTGGTGGCTGGGCACAGAGTTGAAAAGAGTCCCACTGTTTGTGGTTTATGAATAGTGCGGCTTCTTATTAATTTGATTATATATGTTGTATTGATATGTTTATACCATTGGTGCGTGTGGTGGGGGGTCTTTTAAGCCAACCAGCTTTTTCCTTAGAAGCATGCCCGTGGATTGACATGGTCAATATGTGGCCAGAGGAAGATGGTGTGCCTTCGAACAGTCTAAGATTTAACTGTGGTGAACAGAGGGTAGATTCATTGCTGCTGTGGAAATCGAGGATCAGATTATTTCCTTACCCTGGTCAAAAAGAAAAAAGAAAAAAGAAAAAAGAAAAAAGTTTGTTCTTTACCGTGGGGGATCTTTTTCCTTTTTCTTTTGAGATTAAGAGGAGCTCATTCAAGTGCCATTCACTATCTTAGGAACTATGTTCCTTTGTTCTTTTATTGACGTTATAATTAGATGCTTCATTAGTTTTTAATGGGGCAGGCATTGGTTAAGCTCATGATCATGCTTGCTTTATCATTTGCAGTGGTCTGAAATGAGAAGGTTTGACCTAGCTGGATTGATGTCCTCTGTGTTAAGAGCTCATTTGCAAGCTTATGATCCAATAGTTTCAATGGCTCTGAGATATTTGATAAGGTTAGATTATTTATCATCTTTTTTTGTCATTGAATTCCAGTGATTAGTTAAACCATGCCTCATTTTTCATTATAATGTTTGCTTGTTTTCCTTTTGGCGAGACTTTTATTTTTGGTCGTTTTTTCTTGTGCAGCATTCACAGGGCATACTGCTTACGGCAAGGTGTAACATCACAAATCTCAGATCTGAATGAAAGATTGCTCCTAGAGGAGCGTGACCCTCCTGCAGCACCACAGGACACTCTATATGAACTGCCACCGTTCAGTGAGGTGAGATATTTCTGTTGGCTGTTGGTTCTGAAACTTCATAGGCAAGTTTAAGTTGTCGTGGATGTTGTTGCCATTGTTGTGCAAACGCATTGATGCATGTACTTCCACATGTATGTTGGTCATATGATTTTTCTATGAACGTATGTTGATGCCTCTCCCATGTGTAAGCCGACCCAATCTGTTTGACTCTGGAAACCAGGTTGACATACAGGCTCTTGCACATGCTGTAGAGCTTACCAGACAAGGGGCAATTGATAGCTTGAGATTTGCTAAGGGTGATCTATTTCAGGCATTTCAGGTTATAATATATTCCGTGGTCTGTTTCTCTTTTGGTTGTCCGTGGCTTCATTTTATGCTGTTCTGGTATAAGCCTGTAAATTTATTTATTTATTTATTTTACTGCTTTGAAGCTAGCGATTCTCCTACTGCTATAATTTATGTTGATTCAGTACGGTATTCGTAGGAGTTCATTAATAATATTAACCTTCTCTCATTTCTTGACAATTCTATTCACCTCTTAGGTAAACTAGTTGTGTTGCGCCATTTCTAGTGGATTAATGTATAAGAGTGCACAGTGATGGTTTCTAGACAATTCTACTCTTCACCTCTTAAGATCAGTCATTTTGGGAAAAAAAGTTATTTTGTTTGACAAGTTTGCATGCAAAATTAATATTAATCAGAAAATTGTCAATTGCAAACTGGGCTGAGTGCTTGTGTTTTTGTACCCAAAATATGGTAGATTTTATGAATGAGTATATTCAGGCAGTTTTTTTTTTTTTTTTTGGTTTCTTGTTCTGTCTTTTTTAAGAATGAAATTCTTTAATGCCTACAAACAAAATTCTGGATCAAAATTTGGTTGACATCTTAAAATCAGAGTCTATACATTTAACCTTCAGATGGACTGCAGTTTTGTCCTCTATCTCCTCAGAAATGGAGGTTTTATGTCTCATTAAGATTAAAACACAAATTTTCTTTCACTTTCACCTTGTCTGAGGAAGGGATGTAATATATTAGAAGCATCAGAGAGGAAAGAGCAGAGATACTCATACTAGTATGCCTTTGCATTTACACATTTATATGTCCAATATTAGTTACATGGATGCATAATGGGATGGTCCTCACAGAAATAACGCATGGTTGCTTCATACTGATTTGCTTAACTTCTATTTTGGGGTTTTCCTTTCAACTCTGTATCGTTATATCTTTCTTTTTCAGAATGAATTATGTCGGATGAGACTGGATGTCCCACTACTCGATCAGCTTGTTCGTGAATATTGTGTTTACAGAGGCATTGTTGACTCTGGTATAACATTATCTTCTCTGCTGAACCTAAGATTAAGTGTTCTTCTGTTTCTCCCTGCTCCTGTGTCTGTGCAGAATTTCTTTCATATGCCTAGTTCTTTTAACTTTTGAATTTTTTTTTTCAATTCATGGTATTTTTATCTCATAAATTTAAATTAGCTTCCTTCTTCTACGTTTGTTAGATGTTTTCATGAATTATAATCAAATAGTGGAGTTTCTGAAAATTGAATTCCATTTTTCAATTAATATATGCCTTCATATTGATTTTGATCATTTTGTTTTCTTCCCTTGTCAATCTTTATGAACTTTAGTACTTCCCAAGCAAAGGGTTACAGCAAATGTAAAATTCAGTCAACAAGACTCCGGGTATTGTTCATCAAGAGATTGTTCTCTTGAGCTTGATTGCAATGCTGGCAAGCATTCAGATGGTGAAACTTCTGTTACCAATGCTCACACAGATGGTTCCCCTGAAAATAATGCTGATGTGACTAGTATGCAACAAGTGGATGTTGAAGTACGATATGCTTCCGAACCCACAAGCAATCATGAAGACTGTAGCACCAGTGGATCACAGCAACTGGAAAATCTAAGAGTATTGCAGCAAAGCAGATTGCATGGAAATGGGGAAAGAAATAAACGTAAGCGGTGGAGAGGACGATATGATGATGATAGTTACTCACTTGATGCTTCATTTGAAGAGCATAAACAAGAGTATAGCATAAGCACCGTTATTTCTACTTTGTCAAAGGAGAAACAGGTATCTGTTTGCTAGATCTGATGTTATTCCTTTGGCAGAACAATCATTGACCGGGTAATGTTTTTTGCAGGGATCTGAAAAGCTTTCTGCATTTGAAGTTAACAGTATGGAGGATAAATTTGAGATAATGTTGGCAATGAAGGAATTAGCTAGCAAAGGAATGGCTGCAGAAGTTGTTGACAAAGTTAATGATATTGATCCAAACTTCTTTGTGCAAAATTCAGTGTTGCTTTTCCAACTTAAGCAGGTAAGTGAATTCACTTTTTGTTATTTGCTAATAATTTCAATCAAGGAACGGTTCTTATAACCTACTCTCTTTGTGGAAGAGGAGCTTTTTCTGGGCTATTCATCACTGCATCCAGAATGTAAGCCTTTATTTGAATTGATGGTTATAGGTTGAATTTCTCAAGCTGGTCAGCTCTGGTGATTATAATGCTGCTTTAAGAGTTGCTTGCTCCCATTTGGGTCCTTTGGCAGCTAATGATCCTGCTCTATTAAAGCCCTTGAAGGAAACTCTTCTGGCCTTACTTCATACGAACGAAGATGCTCTTGGAAATGTCTTGCCTTTGCATGCTTTGGCTGCTTCTCTCCAGGTAATGTGTACTTGCTATAATGTTATATTAGCAGTCATTTCATTCTCATATTTGATCTTTTCTGCAATTGCAGCTTGGCCCCTTTCTGTTTTGACTCAAGATGATTCCATTATGAAGTCATCTTGTCAATTGTCCAAAAAAATTATTTACTCTGTTGAACTTCCTAGTTATTTTTTTATGAGGCCAACTGATGTGGTATGTGATGAGAGAGAGAAGGGGGGGAAGGGAAAGGAAACAGAAAGAAAGGGGAGTCAGAGATAGAGACAGTGAGAGAGAAAAACAGAGAAGGAAAGAAGCGAGAGAAACTGAATTGCTCCTTAGTTTTATTCAATGACCAGATAATCTGATTAGGGCCCTTATCTATGTGACCCTTATCTACCCTTAACGGCTAGTAACAGATAATGAATAACTATTATTTATTTTACATAACAGCGACCTGATTAAAAAAGTTGGGAAGGTTGCTTGTAGTGCCCTTTCATTTATGTTTTACTTCCAAGTAGCCTTAAACGATCTCATGCAAAGGCATCTTATGGATTGACTTGAGATTACGACATTTCGTTGATGACTCTGTTAATTCCCCCCACTCATACCTCTTTTTTTCTCCCCATATAGAAAGATAAATAAAGAAAGGGTACTATTCAAAACTTCATCATTGGACATTTTTTAAAATCAGTTTGTGTTTAAGTCTTTTATGCTATCGGGCAACATGAGTGTGGTTATAAAATATTATTTCATATTGGATAGGTGGCAGTTGGTAGGAGGCTCGGTGTTGAGGAACCTCAACTCATGAAAATAATGCGAGCAACTCTTTACACACATAACGAGTGGTTTAAACTTCAAATGTGTAAAGATCGCTTTGAAGGTCTTTTGAGGATTGATTCTTTGAAGGAAGTTAATGCTCCTTTCCTTGCTTCTGTATCCATGTCTAAGTCATATGCAGATAGCTGCACACATGGTTCTTCCCAGGTTACGGTATCTTCGGGAACTAGGGTGTCAGAAGATGGAAGCAGTCCGACCCAAGTGTCATCTAGGGATGTCATTTGCGATGAAAATGCAATACTCAAAGTAATGGTGAGTTCTAGATGCCTTTGCTTAGATTCCTCCATTTTCAATTTCGTAGCATAATCATAATATCAAGGATTGGGTCTCGTGCTTAGGTGGGTTAACGTATTTCCTGACTGTCTTACCTTGCAAATCGCATGCAGGAGAAATTTTCTGTCATTTACAACAGTGTTCAAAACAATGATTTAGTCGGGTCCCTTATATAATGGCAACTCAAGTCATTTGAGTCGTTCAAAAATTTCTCGTTGGCAGCACAAGGTTTATACTCAATAACTGAAGCACAAGCAATCATTTAGAACTCAATTTGTAATTGTAGCCGTGCATATGAGTCTAAAGCCGTATGCCGACGGATTTATGTCACATGTTTGTTGTGAGTTCCGTGCAGCGCCCTGGTTTATGCTTTAGTACCAGTCTTGGTCGTGCCATCCATTCTTCCAAACAAAAATCTCCTGCTTATTCCTTTTTCCCCTCTTAATAATGGATCTCCTGTCATTCTTTCCCCAACAGTTATTAAGAGTTTTCTTTTGAAATATTTTACAATCACGTCATATTTTCAATTTTTCATATTTGGGTCTGTGGATGAATGCAGGAGTTTTTGGCTTTGCCTAGAGCAGATGCTATTCATCTGCTCGCACAATACAATGGCAATGCAGAGACAGTCATTCAGCAGATATTCCCCTAGTCTTGAGGAAAGCCTTACAAATCCGGTTTGCTGGTTTGCAAAAATGTCGTTTATTTGATTTTTTTTTTTAAATATTTGATTTCATTTGTTATTATTTATAACACGTGTACAGATAACTGCGAAGGGAATGCCTCAAAAGATCTGAATGGGCGTCAAAATATATTTGTACATAAGAATCTCTTAATTTTTTATTTTCTCAATTTTGATGTGGGAAAGTTGTCATCGAATGAAATAATAATTGGAGCACTAAGAAACCTTACAAGAGGGATATTTTGTATCTTTACAGTTATTCTGGTTGGCAAAATTTATTTAGCAAGTACTGCCTTCGTTTCTTATTATAAAAGACATTTGATACTTATAGCATGTTTTTATATATAAGAAACATTTAAAAGTTGTTTTTATTTTTTTGTTTTGATTTTCTATTTTACCTACATTTATTGTCTCCAACTCACACATTCTCTCCCTCTCATTTCTCTTTCTTTTAATAATTTAATTGTTCTTTTTCATGCTCTCTTTCCTTATTAATGAAGGTCTTTTTGAAAAAAAAATTATACTTTTTATTTTTTACGCATTGATTGTTTTTAACTAATTTTAACTGTTTTTTTTATTAACGTAATTCGGTTATTCGTCTCTTATAATAAGAAACGGAGTAAGTAATATTCTGGACTACCTGACGTCCGTATGTGTTAGCACGCAAATAATGATATCTTATAGATTTGCTTCCTGTTCTATGATATCTTATTGAGATTGTAATGAAAATGCTTCTGGACGGTGAGAAAAAGAGAGGATCGTCTTCCACATCAATCACTCCTCAAGCCCTATCTATTGCCCATGGGTGACCCTACCTCCGCATTATCATGCCTGGCCTTTTGCTTTGTCCTACTCCTCTTTCCGCATACGTGGGACCTTTGGGCTTACCAAGTTTTTCGGAATCCCTTTTCGAGTGGCTTTTGAAAGTCTAAATTTAATTACTGGTTTATGACTGGGTGAAATGACTGTTCTGGTTTTCGCCATGTTTCTGAATTATTTAAATACTCTTTCGATTTTTAATGTAAGACCTAATTATTAAGTTAATTTTAATTCTAAATATAAAACTTATTTTTCATATTTATTAATTTTTCTAAAATAGCGTTAATCATAATTAAGTAAGTGAGAGAGGGAGAATATTAGGAAAGATAATTATAGTGTTTTAGGAAAAAAATTCATATTTTTATAATTAACTAATTTAACTAATTTTTTTAATCTAATCTAATTAGTTAAATAGGTTTTATATTAAGGATTATAGGAGTAATTTGCAATTGGCAAGCGAAATCACTGAATCTTTTCAACAGCGTTTAGGATGCAAATTCAAATGTCAGAGCATGTACCAATCCCAGGAAAAGAAAGATCCATTTCTTGGAATGTTTGGAATTACTCGAGTTAAGTATGCCCCATTTCTTGTACGCCTCAACGTTTAACCATCAGTATGATAATGTATATGTAGTTAATAGATGATCATTTGTCAACTAAAAAGGAAATTAAGTATGAACTTTGACATGGCGGGTTAATAATGTCAAACTCATGAAATAAAACAAATGCGCAATCTAAAAGAATATCTTAGATTTTAGTCCCTATCCGGCCATCCCTATAGGTGCACTGACAAGCGATACGCAATCTGGGCAAGACAGGAAGGGGAAGGTATGTACTACGTGTAGTGAGTTGCACTCTTAAATGGAAAAGCTGTCTCATTTGTCCGCCGAATGCAAACTGTACATCAAAAAACAAAGAGTTTAGAGAAAACCAGGCCAAACAAATGAATGAGAAATGAGAATGCATATAAACGTGTGTGTGTGTGTGTCCAATTTAGTGAAAATCATATTATGCATGGAATCATACATATTGCGGCTTCCATTCCTCCAAACTTCCATAACTTCACATAGCCTAAGATTCAATTCTACATCATTGATTTGTTCATACTATCTCAATTCAGTTACTTAATATTTAAATTTTCGTCTTAGAAAATAAAATTTATTTAATCCAGATTAACACTACATATAAATATCACTTGACGAATGCAGCGAAGATTTAATGGAAACAGGTTTGTGTGAAGTTTTACCAAACAGGAATATGCAAATGCAAGCCAAGCGGGATGGGTAGGTACATTACAAAATGAAGGAGGAAGCACTTGAAGTTGCTTCCACTATCCATTTGTCCCTCAGAATAGAAAAGTAGATATCTTTGTCTATGAATTGCATCAACTTGTCCCCCCCACCTTGCGGTATATTTATTATCACATCAATTCTGAAAGCTATTTCTCTATCCTCCTTTCATCTTCTCATTAAATGCTAGCCTGATCTACAATTTTCAGCCGTCGCAATATATATATATATATATATATCCTCTTTCAATGTATGTCATGTATGCTTATAAACTTTAATTAATAACCAAGATTATTTATTTAAGATGCAATAAATTATTATATTTCATAGATTAAACTCTATTAAAACGACGAGTAGCTTTGTCTGTGCCTCGATCAGAATGAAATTCTGCAGAAACAACAAAATCAGATGATGATGACGACAACGACCCTGCATTTCTAAACCTGATTAATAAGGGGAGCACTTCAAGTTGCCTAAGCTATAATTGGCCAAAAAACAAAAAAGTTGCCTAGCTATATATATTGATAGGCCTCTACTCAACAAATACGACCAAATTGTCTCCCAACTTTCTATTTCATATCATGTAACACCTGACAACTATATATACACCGAAATCTCCCACCACCTTGCAATGTTAGCCCCCAACTGGTCATGCAATCATCACCATCTTGAATCCCTTGTTTGCTTGCAATATGAACAAGCCGAATGAACAATTAACATTCTATTCACTTCGCGAATAAGCTAGTAGTTTTAGTTATAAGGATCTTCATTAATTTATTCGTTTTTGATGTTATAAAAACATAAATATACATTTATCTTTTAAGTTGAGATTCCTAGTTACCCTCAATTTAAAATCATTTTCGTACCAAGAATTATCTATTTTTCTACGTGCAAGTGACGTCTTCAAAGATATATAGATGTGCCTCCATACCATATTTAATGGAATATCTAATCTATTCGGGTGCCATTAATATGTAAATCTATATCCAATACTCATGCACAAATATAAAAGTATAATATTAATAAATGAAGTACAATATTAATTTACAAGGCCTTGATACTCTTTTGTTGGAAGTGGACCAGACAAAAGAGATCTTCGTACAGTCATGAGTTAAATAGCACTTGCTTGGTCGAATAGCTCAAGCCATGTCCTATTTAGGGTGTTTTGGATGAAACCAAACCATGGTTTGGAGAATAGCTTCTGGAGAATAGATTCTGAAAAAATAGATTTTGGGAAGAATAGATTTTGTGAAAAAGTGATTTTGAGAAGTGTGAGTGTTTGGATAGTTGTTATTAGAAGTACTTTTTATATATACAAATTGGCATAAATTAATATGATAATTATAGAAAAATATATTTTATGATATATTTTAATTTGAAGGAATAAAATTGTTAATATATTTTTTATTAACATATATTAATAATATATAATATAATTAATAAATAATTATATGTATATATATTTATAAGATATAAGATTAAATATATTTATAAAAAATATGTTTATAAAAAAAAACAAGATACATATCCTATAAGCTCTCACACTCTCTCCTTTTTCCTCCAAAAGTAAAAAATTTCTACTTTTCTCAAAACCATGGTTTTGATTTTTTTAAGGGTGTTTGGCTAACATTTTTTCCCAAACCATGGTTTTCCCAAAACCATGGTTTGGGGTGCTTGCCAAACACATCCTTAACCGGGTCTCAAGAATCATATTTAAGAGTTAGTTGGACGGTATGTTAGATTTGATAAAAAGAAATTAAAAGAAATAAAAAAAATAATCTGTAAAATTTTATTTAAATGAACTGGTAATGAACTAAGTATTCCTCTAGTTTTTGATGTAAGACTTAATTAGAGAGCTGATGTTGGTTTTATATGTAAAACTTATTTAACAAGTTTATCAATTATTTCCAAAGCAATAATCAAGTAAGAGGGGGAGGAAGGAAATTAAGAAAGATACTTAGAATGTTTTAGAAAAAACATATCATATTAACTAATTTAACTAACGTATTAAATTAAGTCTTGTATTAACAACCATAGGAATACTATCATCGTACGGATAAATGTTGGGGCAAGCCAGGCGCACTGCTTTGAAAGGGAGAGAGAATCCAACAAAGATTTCGCAACAAATATTCATAGGTCCCACAGACATGATTCTTGACCTCTATATAAAGGCAACATGTGAGAGCTGTCTAAGCAACTCAAACTCAATTGTCTATTTCATGTTTCTTTGTTCACTCAGACCTTTCCCTCTTGCTATCTTAGACAATCTCTCTTAGCTCAACATACTTACAAAGCTTCTTCTTTTTCAGTTTCCCTCTTTAAAGACCAAACCAACTGTTTTCATGGCACAAAACAAGCTCACTATTTCTATCATTATCCTCGCCCTCATTTTCTGCCAGACATTCCAATCCATTCATGGAATTAGGAACCTCGTGAAGTCCCAAGGCCTCCAAAACCAGAATGGTGACCTTGTGACTGCCAAGGCCTACGTGCCTCCACCGGCTCCGCCAAGTGAGGCTGCTCTGGGTAACCACCTTGACGATTTTAGGCCCACTTCCCCAGGTCACAGTCCTGGCGTAGGACATTCCACTCACAACTAGCTAGGCCACTGCTTGTCCTAGAGTACACTACTTGCAATGTTGTTGTAATAATAATAATATATTCAGGGAGATAGCGGGATATAAAAGAGTGAGGCAGTGTATGAGATCCATTTTTTTCTCTTTACACCAACCATTTCTTTCTTTCTTTCTATCTTTCTCCAACTGTAAAAGATCCCAATTAGCTAGGATCCTAGATCCTTTGATTCCAAGGTGTGCTTTGTATAAGATATTTGAAGAGAGAGAGAGAGTAGCAGTAAAGTAATAATAATGAGATTATTGTAGTGTGTGTGTGTGGTTTATATTTGATTTAAGGATTGTGATCCTGTGTACCATGCTTGTGTATGTCTAGATTTGATTATGGTGACTCTGTACCATCTACGTGCCATCAAATAAACATATTTATTTCTTAAGTATTGATCATATTTTGTTTTGTTGCGGAAGATGTTTTGATCGAAGTTCCAAAATTGTATGATTATGTGGTAAGACAAGCTCGTGTCTAAACAAAAGCTTCGTCGCGGACGTAA